TCTCTCTCTCTCTCTCTCTCTCTCTCTCTCTCTCTCTCTCGATTATCACTTGGCAGATTTCCGTTGTGACACGAGAGATTTCCGATGTAGCGTAACAAATCTCCTATCGTCATACAAGCACTAATTGATATCGGCTGATGGTCACAACTGATGATGGATAGAATATTGTTATATACTGTATAATTGCGAAATGTCTCAGTGTTTGTAAAATAAATATTGCGCACTTTATAATGTGTCTCTATTAAACGACATTAATCCATTTGTGCATCAGAAGCGGATATGTCCGTTCATTTCACCTGGCCATTATCACGGAAGCGAGTAATCACCATTTTTTACTGAACAAGAATTCAACCACAAAATGTCATGTGTTTTTGATCCGTTTTATATTATAGTTGATCGATTCGATTTGTCTGCGTAATCTCGCATATTTTAAAATTGACTTTTACTCAATATTTACAACTGATATTCGATAATATAGTATTTACAACTGATATTCGATAACTTTAAACTTTAAACATGGACTATCAATGCCTAGACATCGCACTACTAAAATTCGAACCTCTTCTTTTCTTTCCCAGCTGTTTTTTTATTACATCTCCTTTCCTTTATCAATTCGCTCTTTTTTTTATTTTCTGTATAACACTGTCACAAATTATATATAGAGAAGAAGAAAAATATATAAGAAGAAAAATATATAATAAATATATAGAGTAATATATAAAATATATAAAAATATATAATAAATATATAGAAAAATATATAGAGAAGAAGAAAAAAATATAAGAAATATATAAGAAATATTTATATATATTTAGGGGGTACAAATTTTTTCTAATTTTTCGAATGAGACATATTCTTAAAACTTCAAAAAAATTCTTAATTTTTTACCAAAATAATTATTTATTCTATTTAAATAAAAAAGTTTGGATTTAATTAAATATATTCTTGTACAACTCACCAAATTAATATATAGATTAGTACTCCCTACAACAAGTAAATATTTACTAATTTTTAGATATTTTTTTCTCAGTATATATGTGTACATATATATTTTTTTCTTGTCACTACTAATAAAATTATTCAGCTCCTTTCTGTTCTATTCCTTTTATGTTATTTTATATTATTCTTGTCCGTCCAAATTTCAATTTCAATTATAACTTTATATTTACCTTAACTAAGTTAGGCTTTGGAACGGAATACTTGCTGACATTCTATTCTTTGCATGTGCTCGTTTATCTCGTTTTCTTATGTAGATAGTATTTACTCAGGTATTTCCACACAAAATAAAGTTAATATTATTATTAATATCTAAAGAAAAAAAATTCAGTAATATAGATATATTTTTCGAATCTGTTAATGATGCAAATGCGCGCTAATCGATTATTCACCGGCTGATCCATAACTCATGTCTCGAATAAAAGTTATGTGCAATAATGCACGAAGAATCAAGTACTCATCAGTCAAAGAGGAATTGTTGGCCTCAACGAGCAGCCAGTCTGTGTCTCGTAAAACCTTGCGAAACTCAGCGGCGGTGCGAAAAGATTTACGATTCCAGCAAGAGGAACGTAACATCCGTAATATCCTTTCTTCGCGGAGAGGCGGACGGTGATTTTTCATGCGGGCCATTCTTCTCTCGTCACACGCGGACCTTGGTTTAATTTTATTTTAATACGGAAAAAATGGATCCCTCGAAACGTAACAGCGGCGGCTCCGTTCGCGCCTGGCTGCCGTCGCGAAGAGAATCGCGAGGGAGAAACAGCCGTAAATATTTGCGCAACTCATCGGCGGCGTCTGGCGCAGCACGCGCGACCAAATTTCGGGCACGTCAAAATATTTAAAGTCGAGGGCGCAATTAGCGGAACCCGCCTTTGCTCCTCTAATCGACATCGACGTCAGCTCCTTCATCCGTCATTTTCTGCTCACGAAAGGCCTTGGATAATTTCCCTCTTTCCTCCTACGTATGCTGTTACCGTCTCTTTTCCACAATAATTTATAAGATTTTAAATGCAAAATCTGAACTGGTAGGTTGGTGGAAATCTTTCCAGACGTATCTTCTGTATTTCATGTGACATAATTCTCTTTCCGTGTCTCTATTATTGCAAGTATTTTGAGAGAATACCTTCAACTTACATGGAGAGAATATTATAGTTTGCTTCTCATATTAACTTTTTTTTTTCATTTTCACTATGTTTCTAGCAAGAATTACCTATCAATAAGGTCTAACAAACATAGCAAATTTCACTAGAAACAGCAATTTTTTTAATAATGTATTTCATAGTTCCTTAAATATAAGTTACATGTGAAATAAAAGAATAGTCGATTAGTGCAGGATATCAATCTATTTTCTTTGATTTTAAAAATCTATAGTAATTTTTACTGTAAAATTTCCTTCATATAGAATTAGCTAACATATATAATAATAATAACAATAATAATAACTTGATAAATGTAAATAATAATATAAAATAACTTTATATCTATATAGCTATTTATTTACTGAGTATGCTATTTATTTACTGGAGTTTATTTACTCCTCCCTCTATCATTTTTATTTACTCGAAAATATGTAACGATACCATGCTGAGAAACATGGAGCGACACACAGAAGTTTATTTTGAGCGGCGACGATAATGAGTCATTTCGCGAAGAGAGACGGAAAATAGGCGTAGCGAGAGAAAAATCCAGACGCATGGAACCGAGCTGTGAAACGTGTTTTTCTTTCTTTTTTTTTGCGTGCTCAATTTAAACGTGACACGCGCGAAACCACCGCACGCATCGTCGCGTGTACTACACGTAGATCGCGACGAGCCGTGGCGAACTCGTCGTTCCTCGCCTGTGCTGCTGTTTCCCTGCGGATTTTATTTATCGCGTAGCCGATTCCACGTGACGAAGGAATAAATCGGCCATGTCTCGTGACGCGCTTGCCCGCGGAGAACAGTCGAAATAAAATCTCGGCTGACGTGGTGGAGTCTAGTGATAATATTGTTAAAATAAAGCTCGCCTTATATATTTGAGAGAGAGAGAGAGAGAGAGAGAGAGAGAGAGGGGGGGGAGGATAGAATTCTCTTATTTATTTTCACCGACCCGAAATTAAAGTTAAACATTTATACACTGTACGACGTAACGTTCCGCGACGCCAATGAGTTCGAGGAGAGTCGAAGAAAAGCAATAGTACAGAATAACAGATTTATATTGAATAAGCGGTTGTTTCCACTGGAAACGCGAAAAAGGCGCACGCGAACGCCCAACGTCGTTAAATATTTATAAAGAGCCACCG